TCATCATAAATCTTGCCACTGCATACAACAACCGTAGAAATAATCAAACTATATGAGTTACCTCTTTTTGGGCTCAAGAACAGGAGATTATAAACAAAGTTCAGCAAACTTCAATATAGAATAATATCTATAAGAGATTGTTTGCAAACACAATAGTTTTTATTTATTCAATCGCAATTCGCAAAGAATGCAAAACCCGGAGAAGGCAAATTGACTACCAAGGAGTCTGAGCCATGGATCCTTGTCCTTGGGCACATTCTCATGCCCAATTGACACTGCTGAAGAATTATCCTGGAAAATCCATTTCAATTTCATTTGCAGATATTATATCTAATGAAGCCTTTGACAAGGTGACATAGTATTATTCTATCATAAATAATCCTAAACTCATAAGAGTGTTGCATTTGAAAGATGAAAACTTTGCTAAAATTCCTAATGCAGCTCCAGCCTCCATTCATCATTAAGAAACCAAATTACAAATCAAAAGTACACAAAAATTGGATGTGTAGGATATTACATCATAAAATTTGATGAATTTCATGTAAGATAATTACTACCATACAGCTACAAAAGAACTAATCAAACTACAGGATTACTTTCTTTTTGGGTTCAAGAACAGGAGGATCAACATCAATTCCCATATTAGCAGCAGTTCCTGCTATAATTCTCATGGCTGATTCAACAGTCGTGCAATTCAAATCTGGAAGTTTTTCAGTGGCAATGGCCCGCAATTGTTCAATGGTAACCTTTCCCACTTTCTCTAACTTTGGGTCTTTCGAACCTTTCTCCGCTCCTACAGAAGTGTCCAGTATAAGCAAATGACTATCTTATACTCGTGAAGATTAAACGGCAGAATGGTATGAAGAGTAATCATTGATCAATTTAACCATTTACAATTAAGATATACCACTATTCTACTATAACAAACTCTCTGTTGGACAGGGTCTAACTCATTCAGCATGGGCAAAATATCCTCTTTCTCAATGACAATCACAACCATACGAAACAAGTTATTTTAAGCATACTGTCACAGATATTTCTAGAATGTGGCATGCTCATGTATACGTTCAAAACACCTTACACTAGTTCTGCAGTCAGTTTAGTTCATATTCTGAAGACAATGACACAAGGAAGCTATTTTCACTATTTCAAATCGTCATTCCTAGAGAATAGGATTCGGTTCATTTCAATGTCTGACAATGTTCTTGGCCAAGAAGGGAAACCACCAATTCTTCAACTTCAAGTCATAATTGTGTTTCTCTTATATGGTTGCATGATCCAAGACCATGTCATTACGTGAGTTACAAAAGTAAGATAAACAATGAACCAGCAAGATACAATCAACACAAAACAACATGTGTTTGGCCCCGGCTCCACTAAGAACATGGTGATTATGCCATATAAGAAAATTTTTAGCCCTCAACAATATAGCATCTTTATTTCTCTATGTACGTCTCTCTATGAGTAAATTGAATTCTTCTGTGACTACCAAATTGAAACTTATATTTCTTGGCTCAAAACCAATATTAATATTGGCAAATCTCACCTAAAAGTGAGGTGCAGGATCCAAATTAAGGGAAGAAACAGAACATGTAAATAGAAGCAAAAATGATCAAACACTTGGTGAGAATAGATGTATACCGGCAGCCTTGAGGAGCAAAACAGAAGCAGGAGGAGTCTTGAGAATAAAAGTGAAGCTCTTATCCTGAAAACAAAGACATGAGTAAAACAAAAGAATGCTAAACCTTGCATTGCATTCGAATTGAAAATGAAAGAAGAGAGTAACGTACATCGTAAACAGTAATTTCAACGGGAATAACATAACCGGCTTTGTCAGCAGTTCTAGCATTGTAATCCTTACAAAAAGCCATTATATTTACACCCTTTGCACCAAGAGCTGGCCCCACAGGCGGCGCAGGTGTGGCCTTCCCTGCTTCCAGAGCCAGCTTTATCAATCCAACCACTGCAAATTCAAACACCCAAATCAAGTCAATTCATATAATCAAAATGAAAGAAATGGGTATAAAGGGGATACCTTTCTTGGATTTTCCTCCAGGCTTAGGAGGAGCCATGGCAATGACAGTGAGAAATCTACGACTGGAAGAGAGAAGCGAAGATGGTTTCTTGCTGAAGAATTGGAGAGAAATATTTGAGTTAGAGGATAAGTTGATGGGTGAAGGGAACATAGAAGAGGAAAGTCTACCATTATCAACATTCTTAAAAGGAACCAGAGAGGAGGTGGATAGAGAGGAAGCCATTGAAGCTGTGAAAGATTGAGAAAGGAGAAGAGCTGTTTTGGATAAAACCAATGGAGGATTGTATCTTCCATACTTGAACGTCATCTTCTTCCCAGGCCCATACTAAATTATTGGGCCATCGTAATGGATTTCAAGCCCAATATTAATAAAACTCAAACTGCATCGTCAATTCGTCATCATCTCATCAATAAAAAACAATTTAAAACCACCAAAGGGAATGAACGTGGTGTATCAACTGGACTAAAATACCGATTATGGTGTCTTTTTTGTCTTCTACCTTTTCCTGGTGGAGCACGATTTATCAGACTGAATTGGTTGATCGGTGGGCTTTTACAAGTTGGCATTCTTTATGGCGAACAAAATAAGTAAATAACAGCACTTTTATTCATCGGGCTGCTTTGGGAACTCCCACTACGCACGTCTTCTAGAACTCTTGTCACTTCCGTCAGTGCATTTACTCAAAGCCAGATAATGTTATATAACAATTTATTTGACTTTTAAATAAACTTAACATGATTAGTTTAAGGTGCGTTTGGTTTTTAAATAAAGAGTAAACGACGTGTTCCAACCTAAGGTTTGATGAAATCCGATACAGTCAAGTTTTATTTATTCTATATTTCCACTTCTAAAATAATACTGTTAATATTTGTTGGGATAATAAAGTACAATTATCATAATACCCTTAACTCTAAATTAATAAATTATATTTTAGCTCCTAAATTACTAAAATTAACCATCTTATTTTAAAATTATTTCAATTATACTTTCAGTGACTGCGCACTATCTCGATTTTCATTGGATCTGGGCTGTTTCCGATGACGGCAAAACCCCTGATCACCTCCATCAGCTTCCCCATCGTCCGTCGTCCAAAACCCCTCTGATTCCCGACTCATTGACCTCTCTAATCGACGGCGCCGTCAGGGTTAGGTTTTCATCATTCTTCGCCAGATTCCGACGATGAAAATCTAATTCGACGTCACCACTACAACCCGCATCTCCTAATCTACAAAACCCCTATGTCCCAGCAACCGTTTAGTGGTCATTCGTCGGTAGAGATCGACGAAAACCAGCCGCATGTGGCGGCTGTCATGGCTGGCGATCGGCGAGTGATAAGGGATTGTCAAGGGTACGGTTTTGTAGAGGGGAGGATGAGGGTTCGAATGGTGGTGACAAGGGTGATTTTGGGTGAAAGAACGTCGGCGGTGAGGTTGGCTAACGTGCACCGGAACTTTATCAGGGGCTGCGATCTGCTAATGTGCGCCTCTTCTGTGAAATGACCAATTTACCCCTGAGCCGTTATATCTAACCATTTCCTGCTACTATAAGGGTCGGAATATGGAATAAATAGAACTTGGCTTACCAACTTGGGATTTCGTCAAACCTTGGGTGGGAACATGTCGTTTACTGTTAAATAAACTTAACATGATTACTTTTAACGACGCGTTTGTTTCGGAGGATATGGGATTATTGAGAAAAAATAATAGATATGTTATATTAATATGTTTGGTTGGAATGAATAAATTGGTGGATATGTTATATAAATTATCAAATTACATTTTTTTTTAAATATTAATATAATATTATTTTTGTCATTAATTTTTGAATAATTTTTTAACCCCCAACATTTCAGATTTAGCTAAAACACCTCAGCTTATGTAAAACTTTATTTTATAACAAAATAACCCCCACCACCCTAAACCACCGCCAACCGTTGCCAAAAAGTCGCCGAAGTCGCTGAAAATGACCGAGAGTCGCTGGAAGGCTCCGAGAGGCTTCGTATGGTCGTTTCTGGTCATATTGATGGCCGAAACGACCATATCGGAGTAGATCTAACTGGAAATGGCCATATCAATTCTGGCCATTTTCGGCCATATTTGGGTGAGATATAGTCGTTAATGGCCATGGATCTGGCCGATAATGGTCATAGATCTGGTCGTTAATATCCATCGATCTAGCCAAAAATTGCCATAATATATCTACTCATTTCCAGCCAGATCTACTCCGATATGGCCGATTTGACCATCAATATTGTCAGAAACGACCATATTGGAGCCTCCCAGTGACTCTCAGTTATTTTTAGTGACTCTAACGACTTTTCGACGGAGATCGGCAGTGGTTGGCCAACTGTCAACAGTGGTGGTTGGCCAACTGTTGGCGGTGATAGTCTGCAATTTGTTTTAAATATAAGAGCATTATTGTCCAAAAACATAATTAAACAAGGGTAAAATTGTAATGGTGGATTAATGTAAATTGATTTTAAAATACGGGCATTATTATCAAAAAAATTTACTAATAAAGGATAAAATTGTAACAAAAAATAATCTTATAATACCTAAGAAAATAAAAGTAATCTGATTACCTCCAATATTATTAATAATAACTACTATTAATATTGGAAGATTACCAAAATCTTGTATTACTTAACAACCAAATATGATAATTAAGTAATATAAAATAACATAACCCAAATAATGTTATATAAGCTCCCACCAAACGCCCCCTAAGATTTTTATTAATTGTTATATAAGCTCCCACCAAACGCCCCCTAAGATTTTTATTTAATTAGTAGAACAATTGGTTTGATTATGATATATTTGAATATGAAACCATTGACCATATTAAGAAACACAGCACTTCCTTGTAATGATGCTGTTATAGAATTCAAAATTTGGAAGCATTATTTATTTATTTAATGGTTAAGGCCGTTTTAGTGGAAGTTTATATATATAGTTTTGGGGAAAGGTAGGTTGCGACAGAAGACATCTGCCGAGGCAACTCATAATGGTGGCCGGACGAAGAAGATTCCTGAGGCAAAGCAACAAGCAAATATAACCCAATCAAATTCAATCTCGGCCTTGCAAAAACACACATGGGTTTGGTGTATGTTGTGATGGAGATGACAAGATGCATAAACATCACATTTCTGGTGAAGAAGCTAAGCCATTTCAAGTTGATGTTTTTGATGTTACTCGCTCATCTGGGTCTGCTCAAACCGCCGTCACCATTACAAGAAGTTAATTCTCAAGAAGATCCCACTGCCACTGGTTATGTTCTTGTTATAGATGGTCCAAATCCTTCGATTGTCACAGTCCCACTCCACATACTAACATCCTTGATCAAGAAGAGCCTTCCAGTTGTACAATATAGCAGCTTTATAGAAAGATTTGGAGCTCATAATGATGATGAAGATACCAATTCCGTATGTTCTGTTTGCTTAGAATGTATTGAGAGAAACGAAGATATCAGAGAGTTGCGCAACTGTTCGCATCTTTTCCATAGAAAGTGCTTGGATTATTGGGTTGATGAAGGTCAAGTTACCTGCCCTCTCTGTAGATCCTTGCTATTTCCGGCTAAGGGAGAGATGATATCTTATTAATTAATGTCTTTTGAAGTACTCTAGTGTAAATATATTTTGGTTTTTTGGGTTTTGGGTTAATCCTATTTATTTATTTTTGGCATCTCTTATTTCCTTTCTCTTTCTATGTTTATGATTTCATAAATCTAGCTTCGGACACTGCATTAAACTGGTCAGTGAACACTGACAGGGTGTTCAGATAGACTTAAAGAACTCAACAGAACGAGGAAGCCGCCACACCTCTAAAAGATACCAGAGCAACTTGTCAAGCCAAAAACAAAGTTTTGATTATACCACCTACCATATCAAGCCACCTAATGTTAAACACTTCATTAGCCAAGTCTTTGGATACCCAAATTTTACATTTATTAATTCCTTTTCAATCATGGAATTTGCATTTTATGAACCAAAAAAAAAATTACAGTCATGTGCAGAAATATTATTAACATATTGTTAAGCTAATCTTATATTTATTGTTCTAATCACGTGCTAATACACAGAATCTGTAAAAAGCCAACGGTCAGCTATGGCGGGCCTTCTTCTTCTTCTTCTTCTTCTTCTTCTTCTCTCTTCAACACACCCAACTCAAAACACATAATGGTTTGGCCCATGTTGTCATAAAGACGCAGAAAAGGATGATGAGCATCATATTCGTATACCTGTTACATCATATTAGTTATTTGAAACAGGCACTTATACTTGTGGATCCACTCGAGCCACCTGAGCAAGCTATTTCTTAACAACATCCCACCAAGTATGTTCTTCCATTAATGAATGGTCAATCTCCATCACCAGTTCCAGTCCCAGTTTATATACTCATCTCATTTATCAAGAAGAGACTACCAGTTATAGAATATGGCAAATTACTCAAGGAATTTGAGGATAATAACACGGCATGTGCAGGGTGCTTAGATTGCATTGAGAAAAGCCACAAGATCAGAGGACTATGCAACTGTTCTCACGTGTTTCATAAAGAGTCTGGAAAGATGGATGGACGAGGGTCAATTTACCTGTCCTTTGTGCAGATCTAAGTCGGTATACAAGTACAATGTGTGGCGGAAGTTCATTGATTGTTCAAATTATTGACTGTTGGACGATGATCATGTCATGGAAGGGACATGATTCTAATATCTTTATCTAATTTTTAACCAAATTGATTATAAACATTTTGAAGGTGTACAATGTTAATATATCAATTTTATTTTATTTTTTTCCAAAGTATAAAATCTCATTTAGAATATGTTTAATGTACTGGGTTTCTGGTCAAATATATGGAAACTAACAAACAAAGTGTCAAAGACCAGATTTTTTTGGACTATTTCCGGATAATCTGGCAGAGGCATGTTTGTCATTAGCCTGAAAAAATCTTCACTTACAATGCTGCCGTCCGAATAATAACATAACTTAGCCGTGCAAGGCAATCGGACAATCGACAATTTGGCATCTACAAATAATTTATTCCGAGCTAAGAATTGACTCATTGATTGACTATGATAATTTTCGTGGAGAGTGTTTTAATAGTGTTGTGATGTGGCATTGACTTATGCCTTACGTGGAAGTTAGCTTTATAACTTGGGTGGTCAAAGTTATTTTGTTAAAAGCAAAGGGGTATTTATGGAATTTTCCCTATGATTGTTATGTAACCTAATCTGAATTAGGTTTTGATCGACTGTGGGTGTGCTCCATTCTTGATCTTTTTCTCTTGGTTATAGAGAGAGAAAGTTTGTTATAAATGGATGTGCTGGAACCTTGAAGATCGTTGATGGAATCAAACGATGTTGGTAGGCTTTAGTTTGCTTTTCTGTTTCCTTTCACTTTGTGTATAAAATGCCGATTAACTTTTGGTTGTTTGATATGTATGATAGGTGAGGAACATCTGGGATTTCGGGTGTATTACAGCGGGTTTTTCTCAGGTTTTCTTTGTGTAAAGGAGAGAGTTGCAATCTTTGTAGGGTTTCCTTTATTCTCATAGTGAATGATTTCTTACTGCTCTAAAGAGTGGATGTAGGCAATCTAATTGATTACCGAACCACTAAAAATCCTTGTGTACATTTTCTCCACTGCTTTTACCTTATGTTATTTACTTGTGATATTTGCTACTGATTAGAAACTTAGGTTTGCACATTTTTGCTTTCAGATGATCTCATGTTTAACAAGTGGTATTAGGGCTAGGTTTTATTCTAGGTTGTGAGATTGTTTTTCGAATTTGTGGTTGTCTAGGGTTAGATCTAAATTTTATAGTTGCGATTTCTTGACTTAGGGTTTGTCTGAGTCTTGGGTAATTTGGGGCTTTCACACTCTTAGTAATTGTGAGGTTTAGGAACCTAGATATGTCTAAGTTTGAGGTAGAAAAATTCACAGGGGATAATGATTACGGGTTATGGAAGAAGAAGATGAGGGCTATCTTAGTTAAAGATAGATTGTTTGCTACTTTGGAGGGTGGGGATAGCGTACCAAAGTATCTATCTGAGAATAAGAAAAAGGATTTGTTAGATACAACTCATAGTACTCTAATTCTAGGTCTCAGGGATAAAGTCCTAAGAGAGGTTAAGAAAATGACCACACTAGCAGGGGTTTGGGAGAAACTAGATTCTCTATACCTGTCTAAGTCTTCTCCTAATAGGCTAGTTTTAAAATAGAAATTTTTTGGTTTTAAAATGGATGAAAACAAACCATTAGGAGAAAATATGAATGACTTCATGAAGTTAGTACAGGATTTAGAAGGTCTTAGTGTTAAAGTTGAAGATGAGGATCAAGCTGTGAAACTCATTAATTCACTACCCAAAATGTTTCAAATTTTGTTGAAACCCTTAAATATGGTAGACAAACTCTCAATCTAGATGAAGTAGTAAGAGCCATTATTGCTAAGGACACTAAATTCAAAAAGGAGGGTAAGCTAGATGGAGAAGGGCTTAATATCAAAGGTAGGCCTGAGAAGAAGAAGGTGTTTAAGAAAGGTCATTTTAGGGGTAGATCTAAGTCCAAATCCAAGTTTGTGAGGAAGTGCTTCCACTGTCATAAGGAAAGGCATTTTAAGAAAGATTGTCCAAATAGAAAGAAAAGGTTAGGAGAAAAAAAGCTAATGGCAGTGTAGATATAGCCTCTGATGGATATGAAAGTTCTGATGTCTTAATAGCTTCTGATAGAGAATCTAACTCTGAGTGGATTTTAGAATCTGGATGTACCTTTCACATGACTCCAAATAGGAGTTTTCTGATGAAGTTTAAGAAGTTAGAATCATCCCATCGTCCCGGACCACCACCGCGAATCACGGAAGCAGCCGCGGTGTTTCATCTTCCACCACCGCGACTCTTCGTCTTCCCGGCCAGTTTTGGCCGTTTTCCGGTGACGATTCGGCTCCCCAAGGGTCGATCCACCTTCCCCACAGCCGGATCTACACTTCCCTAGCTTCAGCCGCCGCGAAAACCGCCGAAATCCGTGATTTAGCCGCCGCGACTCTTCATTTTCCAGGCCAGATCCTGCTCATTTCCGGCGACTTCTCACCTCCCCAGGACCTGATCTGAACTCCACATCACCAGAGCTTTCCATCGGTACCTTTGGATCCCATTTCTGCCACCATTTTTCAGAGACCCACTGGAAAATTAACGTTTTCCGGTGAACCGCGGCTGTTCGTATTCCGGGCTGTCTGTTGGTCGTTTCCGCCCCTTCTTCGCATCATATCGCTATCGGTTACCTCCTCTCTGCCATGGTCAGCTCCGTTTCCACCGTTTCAGCCTCCGTCATCACCACCATGAGTGGCTAAGCTCCCGGTTGTCTGTTATGGCATAGGCGAGATCGGGATTGACTCCACGACTCTCCTCATCAGCTCTCGACTAGTTGGATGAGCCCGATTATAGGACATTTGGTAGTATTGTGCTTCGGATTATATTTGTTTTCGTTTCATGATTGATTTCGATACTTTACTATTATCTGAGCTCGATTGTTTGAATTGAATGTCCATTGAGAACGTTTATTGATATATAACTTTTCGCATAATTGAATGTCGGTTTGAGATTATGAATGTTGATTATGACTTAAATTGCTTCGGTACTGATTGCAATCAAGTTGTAGTAGCGTTTAATGTCATCTCTACTAGGAATGCATTTATTGTGTATTATTTATGGATGATACAGGTTGATAGGTTGTACTTGTTAACGTTGTACCAACTAGTGGTGTTTAAGGGTTTAGCATTTTTCGGTTAGTCAATGATATGTCTTTAACCATCGTCTGTAACTAAGACGACGGGGAGACAGGATAGATTATGCCTAGATTGCCGGGATATTTCTATGGATTTGCCTAGCCTTGTAGGATTAGGAAATTGAAGAGCGGAGAGGAATTTGAGAGTTGGTCTTGAGTCAAACCGAACCCGTAGCGACAACGCTTTTAATATTGAGTTTTTAGTTAGCAATTTATTAATGCTTTTTAATTTCCTGCAAGTAATTAGTTTCCTTAGTTTAATCAATCATTCCGCCAATTTCTCTTTCGTTAACTCAAAGTACATTAGGTCATTAGTCTTGCTCCCTGTGGATTCGATCCTGCTTACCGCTAACTACGGTACTTAGGTTTAATTTTGTGACCGTGACGACCGGTCTAACAAAATTTTGGCGCCGTTGCCGGGGAGCAACGTGCTTTTGACTTTGTGTGTTTGGGTTTGTAAATACTTTTAGTCATTTTTTTTTATGTTTTAATTTTCATTAGGACAGTTTCATTCGTGTTTGTTTTTATTTTGCAGGAAGATCGCAATTGGGGAACGTTGCGTTGTGTCATGTGCATCAAAGTTTAAGCGTGACCCGATTGTGATATTTTTTTAATCTTTTTAGCTTTAGTTCTTGTTAATCTTTTGTGTGATGTTTGCATGTTTCGTGTTCATTTAGTTTGCATGTTTGTATTAGTTTTGCATATTTTTTTTATTCATAGGATTGTTTTGATTTAGTAATAATTTCTTTTTGTTTGACTGTTAGTTTTAGTTTGTTTATTGTGTCGATTTTTTTTTTAGGGTGATATCATATCCATTTTTTTTTCTTTATGTGTGCCTTTTGAATTCACTTTTAGGATTTGCTTTTAGTTCTTTTTCTTTGAATTTTGTGTTGTGGTTGTTGGTGGAACCTTGGGTACACTTGTTGATGAATGCTTGGTAGATATCGTATCAACCAATTTTAGTACCCTTGGATTTGAAAATAGAAAGCACGTAGGATGGATGATAATCTGTATCCCATGCACAACCATCTTGCTTCTAGGATTCCTATGATAGGGCAGCCGCCTAGAATGGTGGCATTTATGAGGTTTCTCCTTTGGACGATATAGACTCCAAGTTGGAGTCTTTAGCCTATCAATTTGACACGTTCATATCTATACATGGGCAAGCTTCTAGGCAACCACCTCCCGGTAGACAAGTCAGGATGTCTTTTCTATGCTTCAACCTTTTAGCTGTTGAGTACGCATTTGAGGACCAGCTCCCTTCACTTTTGAGGAGCAAGTGCAAGATGCACAAGTTTTCAGAGACGGAATATCCGTATTCAAACCACATTTGATAGTGAGTGGCATAACCATCCTATTTGGCATGGAAGCAGGAACAATCTCAGAATGTCTCCCATAATATTCCATATAGTTCTTCCAATCAACAGGGCAATTATTGGGACATGTATTCGGTCCAACCAACCGCCCAACCTAGGATCCCACCTCCCGTCCAACAGCCCACTCACGAGCCCAGTCCACTGGAATCAATGATGGCTCAAATGCTCCAAACCATGCAAGAACAGAAAGATGACATGAATGCTAGGTTCAATGACTTAGAGCAGCATTATCAGATATTACATTCCATTCCCAATCTATTAGTAGCTAGAGACCCAAATTGGTCAAATACTGAAGCGGTTTATAGAGAGAGAATGCCATTTGCCGAGTCAAGTTGTAGATATCCCAATGGTGCACCTCACCATGGGGTGTCATGAACTAGCTAGGCTTGAGAGGGAATTATATGCTGAGTTTGGAAGAAAGGAGCTTTGAGGAACCAAGCCGAGAACATGAAAGAGAACCAACCATAGAGTTAGGTGTGTCGAGACATGAAAACGGAAGTTGGGGAGACAACTATCCCCTGCTTTGACACACCGATAGAACCTTGTCCTCAATCTCTAGAGTCGAATCATGCAACAAACTTTAAGAAAACACTAGGATGAGGAAATGGTTGAGTTATTTAGACAAGGGCTGTTGGTATTCCACTTCTTGATGCCATTAAGCTCATACCTGCCTATGCCAAGTTCTTAAAAGACTTGTGCACATGGAAATGGCGTATTAAATTCAAATATACCTTCTTGGGACCTCGTGATACCCTACTGTTGCTGAATGGCGAGGGCATTGTAGGCACCGCCAACGTTTCAACCACCTTGAACTTGATGTTCGCATTTAGTCTGGCTGAAGACTTAAACTTAGCGCTTGGGGAGGTAACCCACCTTTTTAAATTTGTTGTTATTGCTTTATGTTTTTGTTGTTTTTGTCTTTGCAGGAATTGCCATGTTTGGAAACTCATTAACTATTCCAAGGCTTCGCTTTCACATGCTCCACGAACTCCGTTGGTGACAACCCCATCATTGTTCCTCAGTTGATCTCTCCACCTTATGCTGTTATGTTAGATTTCTTGTTTCTCAAATATGTTGGACGATTTTAATGTTTTTAATCATATTGCCATTTGAGATCATTTGATGCTAAGTTGGGGAGGATGTTTGTATTTGTGGGTCATTGAGGACAATGACATTTTAAGTTGGGGTGTTGATTGATTTTTATTTTGTGGAGTAGTTGTTGATCATATTTTTGGGAAGTGTTGTTGATGATGCTTTTGTGGAGATTTGTATATTTTTTGTGAAGTATTGTTGATGATGCTTTTGTGGAGATTGTGTGTTGAACAGAGTGCTTAATTTTGTGGCATGATGATGTTTGTGTTTTGTTGAAAATAGTTGAATCGTACTCTGTAAGTCCAAAAGTGGTTAAAGTGAACTAAAGTGAGTTATTTTTAAAATTTTTCATGAATTCATGCATAATCACCATTTTAGAAGCAATTGAGGTGCTAGTTGAAAGGTTTTGTGAGGTTTTTGAAAATTGTTTGTTGCAACTGGTTTTAAACATTGAACTATTGGTTCTTGTTTGTGCTAGGTTTGTCCATAATTGTGGTTAGACACCGTTTTGTGTAAATGTCATGTGTTTTAGTGTTTATGCAAGTCTCCACATACTTTACTGCCATATAGCAAATTTTCATTTATTATCTTACATGTGTTAAAAGTGCTTAAATGTTGCTTGATGATTTGGTTTTGATTTATAGCCTAGTTGACTCGAGTGAGTACGCCCGAGGGGTGTTCTACACCTAATCCCCTAAAGCTATCTACTTGGGAGCGGTTGGCCTAAAGCTCGTTACATGGTCCTCTAGAAAGCTTAATAAATCATTATTAAATCATGAGCTTTATAAGAAATAAAGAAATAAAGTCTTGACTTGTAGCCTAGTTGGTTCGGTGGGTAAGTTCGAGGAGTATTCTACTTAGTGCCCTATAGCCATCTGGTTTGGAGTCATTGACCTAAAGCCCGTTACACGGACCTTCTAGAAAGCTTAAGAAGTTAAACAAGAAAAAAAAAAAAAAAAAAAAAAAAAAAGTGTGAATGAAAAAGAAATTATATGTCAAAATCTTGTGTGGAAAATAGCATTATGTTGCTGTACATAAGTTGGGGAGTTTTGCATGACATTTTAACATTGTGATATGAATATGAAATGTGTGTTTAGAAGCTTGAATGGAGATAGGCAAATCTTGACAGAAACTTTAGTTCTTTATTTAGGATTGTGTTATTTACTTGTTATGTTTAAATTCTTCACTTTACCTTTTGATGAATGTCTTGGTTGTTGATGAATATGTTGTTATGGTTTTGTGAGAATGTTGAAAGAGTTCTTTTAACTTTACTCGAGGACGAGCAAAGAGTAAGTTGGGGAGTGTGTTAGAGTCATGAAAGTGACTCTATTTTGGTGATAAAAATACCCCATGTGTGTTAAATTGAAGTATATTGAGATAATTAAAGAATTTTGAATTTATTCACGAAAATCGCTTCCTAATTTTTTTCTTATGAATTTACGTGTTTGGAATGATTTTGGAAAGTATATGAGTTGATATTAGGTTGTGGTTTATGGATTAAGGGTGATTTTGTCTCATTTATGCTGTTTTGGGGGTAAATGTCATGTTTTAAGGGCTGATTCTGTTATGTTTCAATCATGCAGGACCAAATGGAAATTTGCCAAATTTTGTATAAAACTCCAGTTCAAGTTTGCAGAAACGGGGCTGCCGGCCACCAAATTCTTCACCTTCTCCGATCAACTCCGGCGACCCTCCATCTTCATTTCCGCGACGTTTCGGCTTCCTCGTGCCCGGTCACCATCATCCCATCGTCCCGACCACCACGCGAATCACGGAAGCAGCCGCGGGTTTCATCTTCCACCACGGCGACTCTTCGTCTTCCCGGCCAGTTTTGGCCATTTCCGCGACGTTCGCTCCCCAAGGGTAGATCTCATTCCCCAAGCCGGATCTACACTTCCCTAGCTTCACCGCCGCGAAAACCGCTGAATCCGCGATTTAGCCCCGCGACTCTTCATCTTTCAGCCCAGATCCTGCTCATTTCCGCGACTTCTCACCTCCCTAGGACCTGATCTGAACTCCCCATCACTAGAGCTTTCCATGGTACCTTCGGATCCCATTTCGCCACTGTTTTCGAGACCCGCCGAAAATTAACGTTTTCCGGCGAACCGCGGCTGTTCGTATTCCGGGCTGTCGTTCGTTTTCGGCCCTTCTTCGCATCATATCGCTGTCGGTTACCTCCTCTTCGCCATGTCAGCTCTGTTTCCACTGTTTCACCTCCGTCACACCACCATGAGCGGCTGAGTTTTCGGTTGTCGTAGGTGAGGCGAGATCGAGATTGCCTCCACTGATCTCCTCATCAGCTCTCGACTAGTTGGATGAGCCCGAATGTTGGATATTTGTTAAGTTTCTTGTATTCAATTTATTTGTTTCGTTTCGTTTGTTTGCGATACTTTAATATTATTCTGATCTCGATGTGTTGAATTGATAATGTCCATTGAGAACGTTTATTGTATATAACTTTTCGCATAATTGAATGTCGGTTGTGGATTATTGAAGTTTGATTATGACTTTAAATTGCTTCGGTACTGATTGCAATCAAGTTGTAGTAGCGTTATGTCATCTCTACTAGGAATGCATTTATTGTGAATTAGTTGATTGATGATACGATTGATAGGTTGTACTTGTTACCGTTGTACCAACTAGTGGTGTTTAAGTGTTAGCATTTTTCTGGTTAGTCAATGATAGTCTTTAACCAATCGATCTGTAACTAAGACGACGGGGAGACAGGATAATTATGCCTAGATTGTCGGGAGATATTTCTATGGAAATAGCCAAGACTTATTATTTATTTATTTCACCTGAGCTATATTATGTTGATTTATGAACATCTACGTTATGTGAATAAATATTATATGCTTGAGAAGAGAAATTAACGATGCAGTATATATATATGATAAACTAATAAAGATTTGAGTTAAGGTGATTGAAAGGTATATATATCGTCTTTCAAGTATAATCAATTCAATTATCATTTTGATATTGTTAAATCGTGAAGTTGTGTTAATATGACAAGGGAAGATAGTAAAATTTTTAGATATATAAAAATATTGAGATGGTTTGATTTTTCAAAATCCACCAAACTCTGTGTGTTTGTTTTTATTTTATTTCTCATTTTCTATTAAAATAAGATCAACGCTAATCGTTTTATAAATCATAAACACATGCATGCAGCGGATGTTCTTCGAAAAATTGTAGAGAAAATGGGGCCAAATTGCAGAAGGATTTTACAGAGGAGGACCCTTGCCGATTACAGGCTCTTGATTGACGACATTGGCAAACCAGATGAGCAGAATAACACTATTAGTTTGTAGCCACAGAGACACTCAAGGTTTCTCGCACATCACACACATGTAAGTGCCTTCTTCTTCTTCTTCTCTATCTACCTTCGAAATGTATTCATATTGATGAATTTTATTAATTGATTTTAGTTTTAATAATAACTTTTTTTCCCTGAAAGTGGAAATGACCATTTTAAAGACCAGTAATAGAAAACAAATTTTTGTTTTAATCCATGTTTGAAATGATACGCTAAATACCCTTGCTTTATCTTTCATATAAAATCGACCTCTTCTTTTTTGTCATTTAATATTTTGTGCTTATAACTTATTTGTTAAGACAAGTAACGGACATATATACTTTTTCTTAGAAATTGTTATTTGGGTTAATGACATTATTTTCTCTAGGTATGATGAATAAAATAAAAATTCTCTTGAAGTTTTAGAAATTATAGAAATCATCTGCTATTAAGTTTTAATGTTAAAATAAACGGTAAAAGCATAATTTAGCAATGTTACTAATTCTAAACAAATAAATTTTGATTGCTTATTAACAGTTTACTAACATAATTTTTTTTTATTATTCAAAAATCTCATAAGGATTTTTATATTAAATCAAATCAAAAGGTCTATGTCTTTAACAAATATTTTTCCTTTTTGAATAATAACAATTTTGTCCCTCAGGTTTGTCTAGTTAATTTTAGTCCTATAAAATTTTCCAGCAGTGAATGCGTCCTTTATGTTTGGGATTTTAAAATTCCCTCCTCAAGGTTCGAGGAAGGTAACAAACACACAAGATACATGAAATAATTGGATTCCACTAAACTCTTCAAAACGAGCCTTTAACCATATCCATTTTCTAATCTAAAAAGAGATTGATTGTTTTTTCATAACTTGAACTGCAGTTTTCTCAAGAGTCTGAGTCTTCCAGGCATGCTTCCACCTGAATTTGCCGACCTTACATTTCTCCAAACTATGTAGAAACAATTGATAATATTTGGTTCATACTTCTGAAAAAATCATGCTTACTTTGTCTTCTTAAACTCAATTTTAGATATATTAATTATATTGTACATAACAGTGATCTCACCCGAACTGTTTCAATGGGACTCTTCCAAAAGAATGGCTTCATTGCAGCAATTGAATACCATGTAAGCATATTCAAATTATTTTGGTCCGGTTTAATTACTAAAATTAATTTCACGTTCAGTTGTTTTATATGATTAACGAAAACTTGTCTGCAGCTCACTTACTGCCAATCGCTTAACGGGGGAAATTCCACGGGAATGGGGGAACTTTGCTAATCTCACTTACTTGTACGCTTCTGTAGTTGAAAGCGAATGTACTGTATCTCTAGTTATCCCTTGTTCTGTTTTTCTTATTTTGCTATTTGTGAAAATGAAATTTAGGAGCCTGGAGGCCAACCAGTTGTCCGGAACTATCCCTGAGGAGCTTGGAAATTTGCAACTTAACTGAACTGTATGAAATTTTAATTTAATCCTTAAGATTGAAATTATATTAGGTCTAATTTCATAGATTTTTAAAATATAATTTATACTCAGGATGCTTTGGTGCCATGATTTCACAATTCCAGGGTGCTTTCTTCCAATCAGTTTGTTGGAAGCTTGCTTCAGCACTTGCAAAGATGAAGGTCTTGAAAGATTGTAAGTACTCATATAGTTTCTCCACCAGTCTGGAGAGTTCAAATTTTAACTCACGACAATCTTTCACTTTGTTTTGTGCAGTAGAGTGAGTGATAATAGCTTTAATGGCACTGTACCAGAATTTATTGGGAATGGACTGATCTCGAAAGGCTGTAAGATCTTTTATCTATGACAAATTTGAATTCGAAATGAGTATAGAGCATCCTGATTTATAGCTTTTTTATGCTCTCACTCTTTTGTTTTGCTGCATTATTGAAGGGGATGTATTCAAGTGACTAAAAGGACCAATTCCAGCTGCGGTTTTCAATCTAGGAAATCTGAAGGATCTGTGCGTAGAAATTTCTGACCTTTTTGCTTATTGGTATTTAAGGATTTTTTCTCTCAATTAATTTGGGACTGGAGTATTCCACCACAATCATTGTGTCTTCTTTACACAGGAGGATCTCTGATATGCCTGGACCAGACTTCAAATTTCCAAATCTGAGCAACATCAACAACATGGATAACTTGTATGCCTAGTGCTAATGATAATGTTGATTTATTTTTTTTAAGCCAAGATTCATGACATCTGATAATAGACATATGAATATGTTCATATGTTAGAGTTGTACGTTGACTTAACATAAACATTGTTTTCAGGGTTTTGAGAAACTTGAATATGTCTGGCTCTATCCTGACGGGCATTTGGAACTGACAACACAATGTAGCTAAACTCTACAATTTCTACCTGATCCAATATAGCCATTCTTACTATATTTTGTCTCTTGTGCTTTGTATGTTAACTTTATCATCAAATCTAAAGAACTTAGATGAACAGAAAAAGACCAAAAAAATATATGAATGTTACACGGGGAGAACCGTCTGTGAAACCTTCAACAGTAGGTCCAATATTTTCCACATAACTTCAGAATCAGGGGATTTCCCCATTCGAAAAAGGGCAAATTCGCATTGAATTCTCTATCTATACCCAGGGCAATAGTGTTGCTTTTGTTTTAATATATCTGCTATAAGGGAACCTATAAATTGTTGGCTTTAGATGCATATAGAAGAGCTTGATATATAATTATAAGGGAGCAACAACGTGAGGCCTTCTGCAGGTGCTAAATTTTGCTAGTGTTTCTTCACAGCTATTCATTTTCCTCAATTGTATACAGAGATCTGTCCTTTAACAAGTTGGGGGAGAAATTAATGGCAACATTCCAGCTCCAAGCGCAGATTTCACGTAAGCAATTATGTTTTTTTTTTTTTTTTTTTCAAATTTTAAAATGGAATTTGTGCTATATCATTCTAAATTAAATCATGTGGTTTTCTTATTAGCTTCCTGATGGCAACAAGCTCACTGGAAATATCCAGATTCATTCTCAGAACACAGAATTATATTAAGTTCCTATTCTTGTAATCTTTCCATCAATTTTCTATTGTTTGATTTTCAAATTTCATACAAAAATTGGTTTTGTCCAAAGGGTACACTCTCCTCAATCCAAAAAAAATATTATTCAGCTGTATTAGTCTGTTCACATTATGTTACTGAAAACATTACTTCATGATTTTCTCTCAAGGTCACATTGTGGTACCTATATCTTAAAGTGTATATATGTTTTCTTTTTGTCCATTGGTTGCAGCGATTTTTCCTTATAACAGATTTGCACCATTAAGTAGTACTTGTCCAGACGACAGGTGAAAGAACTTTTAATCATAGTATTGGTATAGTTCCTAATATTATAATCTTTCACTAATGTCTTCTTTAACCTTGTAAACGTAAATTAACACGTATCGGAGCTTCTCTCGGAGACACCACGTAAGGCTTCTCTTCTTCTCTTTAAGGTTACCCCATATCAAACTTCTTGAGATATCCAGTTATAGTCTTTTCAATTGAGAAAAGTTTTAATTACACTGATTTGGTTCTCTTGTTCGGTAGAAATGGTGCCCCATTAGACCCAACTGCCGAAATCGTGAGTATATTTTCTGGAATTAAAATTCTGCAATTTGTTGAAACTCTTTTAAATCAATTTATTTGTTGTGACAGATTATCGATCACTCCATATAATTGTGGAGGAGAAGATGTAATTATCAACAATACCTGGTATGAAGGTGATAAATTTCCTCACACTGGAAAAGGGGCTGTACTGAATTATAATCGTGAACCAAATGGGGATTCATCAGCACAGGAGACTTCATGGACGATAAGCAAAAGTATGATGATGCATATACTTTATCAACTGACTCTACGTCCTCAATGAAGTTCCCAAAATTGTACTTCACGGCACGTTACTCCTCTCTTTCTCACCTATTATGCATATTGTAGGAAAAGGGAAATTATACTGTGAACCTTCACTTTGCGGAGATATTCTTCAGGGATGTGAAGTACCCTTTCATAAAGTTGGAAGACGCATATTTGATATTATATTCAGGTATATTTTATTACGTTATGAGAAGAGACCACTGTTATTGTTTTTATAGCAACCATTGATTTGAAAATTACATTTCAGGAAAGTTTAGCGAAGAAAGATTTTATATAAAGGAGGCAGCCAACGGAACTGGTAAAGAAATCATAATACCATTTAACGCCACTGTGACAGAAAATAATAACCTGGAGATCCGCTTGTATTGGGCTGGGAAGGGACTACTGTGTCCCCAGAGAGGATATTATGGTCCTCTCATATCTGCTATTTCTGTATGTCCTGGTAAGTGTGTAATCTGTTATTAGTCTTGCCTTCAAATCAGCTGCATCCTAATCTCTTATGGTCCTCTCATATCATTTTGAATCATCCTTTTCAATGACTTCATTACTGTTGGGTAAATATCTAAGAACCTAAGGTAAAAACTTAAGCGATATTGTGTTGGAACATCATCAGGGAACATAATTGCTCTGCTATTTGCGAGCCAAAAATGTTCTTACTGGAAAATTATGATCCTATATTACTCCTTTTGTCACATTGCAAAGCTGATTCTGCTCAGCAAAGGCAGTATAATGCAATAAGGCATCAAAATAAAACTGCTCTGACTACTATCGTACTCAAGTCGCAACACTCTTATATATAGGTTCTAGTTGACATGGACATGGATTGTAAACTTCAGTTTATATAAATTTAATAAGTATCTTCTCCTTCAGTACCCCACCTTAATTATGTTATGCTGATAAGCAGAACTTTTTGGTGTTATTTTCAGGTTTCACTAATTGTGACGGTGAGAAACAACTGTGTTATAGTGTCAGATTTTGATGGTATCAATTTATATTCCATTTTTCTAATTGTTATGCCTTCTTCTTGGTATGGTTTTACTTATCTCAGAACCTGCAAAAACAAATAATTTACCTATTGTGTTGGAGTGGTCACTTCAATGTTATTTCTTATTCTTTTGTGTCGCGGGATTCTTCTGTTGGAAACGCAATTCTGGACATAAAACACAAGAGAACGAGGTATAAGCTAAAGTTTTTGCTTGATTCAACCAGTAGACTTTTTTTTTTTCTTTTTGGTTGCTCAGTTCTCAAATCATTCATACTTGACTCCAAGATAACCTCCCTTCTGATTGGTACGGTCAGATCTGAAAGGGCTAGATCTGCAAACAGGTACCTTCACTTACAGACAACTAAAGCTGCCACTAACAATTTTGGGCATGCAAACAAGATTGGAGAAGGTGGTTTTGGGTCTGTATATAAGGTATTCTGATTGTGTATGTTGAAACATTGTCTGGGTTTCATATGCAACTCTTATCAACTTCATAGACATTGACAGTTATATTATGAATCTTTTGATGCAGGGTCAACTTTCAGATGGTATTTTTTATTGCCGTGAAGCAGCTTTCTTCTAATTCAAGTCAAGGAAATCGAGAGTTTGTGACTGAGATAGGGATGATTTCTGGTTTGCACCACCCAAATCTTGTAAGCTTTTTGGATGTTGTGTTGAGGGAAATCAATTATTGTTGGTTTATGAGTACATGGAGAATAATTGCCTTGCAAATGCACTTTTTGGTAACTTCCTGGCATTTGATTCTTCTATATTTTAATAGCATTTGCATGTACGAATGTTTTCAATTTTACAAACTCTGTTGATTGATATGGAATATTAATAGGTCCAGAGATTACCTTGAAATTGGACTGGCCACAGACAGAAAATATGATTGGCATAGCCGAGGCCTAGCCTTTCTCCATGAAGAATCATTTCTGAAGATAGTTCACAGAGATCAAAGCTACAAATGTGCTACTAGACAAGGAATTGAAGGCTAAGATATCCGATTTGTGATTAGCTAAGCTCAAAGAAGATGATAAGACGCACATTAGCACTAAGTTGCCGGAACCATGTAAGTTGAATGATTTCTAACCACACGTGTATGTTTTGTTGCTTAAGGGTATAATATTCTGACATTTCATTTAATTCCAGAGGTTACATGGCTCCAGAATATGCACTATAGGGTCACCTAACATAAAATTCTGACGTGTATAGTTTTGGAGTTGTTGCTTTGGAAATTGTCAGTGGGAAGAACAACGCAAGTTATAGAGCCAAAAATGAACGTGTTTGCCTTCTTGATTGGGTAATTACGTTTCAGTAGAATGTCTATTCCTATGCACTGGGTTCAAAAGTTTAACCAATACTCAGATGTTGCAGGCTTTTGATTTGCAAGAAAAAGAGAATTTGTTGGAGATAGTGGATCCAAAGCTGGAGCATGAATTTGACAAGGAAGAGGCTGAAAGGATGATAAAAGTAGCTCTTTTATGCTCCAATGCATCTCCAGAATTAAGGCCTACTATGTCAGAAGTAGTTAGTATGCTTGAAGCACAAACCATTGTTCAGGAAGTGATCTCAGATCCTAGCATCTATGGCGATGACTTGAGATTGAAATCACTCAAAGGCCATTTTCAACAGATGATGCAGGAGCAGAATTCAAGTGGAGGTCAATCCTCAAACTGTTTTTCAGATAAAATAGGGCTTGGTTCTTCCACCAAAACTGCTCATGATCTCTACTCAGTCAATTCTGAGAGCATAAGGAACCTTACATCAGAACACGATCTTTATCCTGCCAATTCGGAGACCACATGATCTTCGGTTTAGTATCATAGCTCTTGAGTTCAATAAGCAAAAAATAATTTAGATATGTAGAGATAGTTTCACTGAATTTGTTCTTTTTAAGCATTGCCGTAGTCATATTTCAACTGCAATTCTGAACTGTTTAAGGCCAACCATATATTACTCATGCTATCAAATTCCAGAACTGAAGGTTTTTCTTCGCTTGTTTTAAGAGATATATTGTACTATGTGTGCTTAGATAGTTAAGAAAATGGAATGTTTTATAAGCCACATGTGGATAAATTCTATCAGTACTTATTCTCCCCTCAAGCATATTTTTGATAACTTGCTTCAACCTGAAAGATGTTCATTTTGATGAAACAGTGGTTTCTTCTACTTTGTTTTGTTACTTTTATTTTGCGTTTGGTGACATGACCAAACCCAACCCTCCCTATCCCATAGGATCCTAATACTCCCATAAGACTCGGGTGACTAAGACGTGCCATGTAGGGAAACTGTGAAACCCTATTTCTGAATTAAAGCATGATAAAAAGGCATACAAAATTTATGTCCTTTGAGATTTTGTAAACTAGAAACATTTGTATCAAGTTCTCTATATATTTTATAATCAATACATGAGAATAATGCATGACAAAAAGCATGAACTTTTCTGATACTTATTCTCAGAACATCTTTCTCATAAACATAAACTTTTCTCATTATATTATCCTTTTACACATGCTCATAATATCTTATCATAAAACACGTCTTATCTCCTTTGGAAAACATACACAATAAACCAAAATATCTCATATAAACACAGAGGTGCAATTTTTTCATGCAATTGTTTGCCCAACAACATCACGATTTCATTTTTCTTATGTCAATCAACACAATTCAATGAACAACTTGTATTAAAGCTCATTTCCATAGAGAAATCAAAAGATTAAGCAAAATAAGACAATAATTATGCTTAATAAATATTTGAAATAAATTTATTTAAAAATAAGAGTTCAGGTTTTAGATTTTTCCACTCACTATACGTGAAACTCGCCCCAAATGATGAAAGCCCTCAAAACAATCGATTCTCCTTCTCCTAATTGAGCCAATTTTGAAGAAACTAGCCTTAAGCACTAAGATAGGAGCATAAAGAGGTGGAGAAGAGAAATTACCCAATTTTAAGCTTGCCCACAAAAAATAGGCGTAAAAAATCACCTTC